AATATAACTCGTTAATTTATATTGTTATTTGTTATAAGATTGATTTCGTTATAAAAAAAACCCCATAATTGTTATACGAAGCATAAAGTGTTGAATTACACACTCTTCGTGGGATCGACCCTTACTTCCATTACTACATTAGTTTTAGAGGTTTAAGGACTATTTTTGGATGCCTACGACAGCACACCATACAACAACATCTTCACCAACTTCTCCTTCTACAGCACCAGTTTCTCCTCCTTCACCATTTACTGCACCAGCTTCTCCTTCTTCACTATTAGGTGCGGCAACAACTTCACCAACTTTCCTTCTCCATTTTCGGGTACAAATTCTTCAATAGCACTAGGGTTAACGTCTATGGCTGTATGATCGATTGTGAGAAAGAACAGAAAATGTGGACGGTATTGCTATATAGAGGAATAAATATATAACCGAATAAATGGTTGAACCTATTTTCCTATTCTAATCGGTCTCAAGGAAATGATTCCACCTCAACTGTCAGCACTGTTGGAATAATGTCAATTTCCTTAGAACTCCATAGTAGCATTAATTTTAATGTGCATGCTTCCTTTCCTCATAAATTTTTGTATTTTTTTCCTTCTATTTTTGTCTTTTCGACGTGTNATAAAATATTTAATAATTAAAATGATTTATTTAATGATATTAGTAATTATCAAATTAAAATTAATTATTTCATTATATAAATATTTATTTCATATTCGATTTATTCAATTATTAATAAAATTTAACGGAAAAAATAAGAAGTTGCTAATATATTAAAATAATTTATTTAATAATTAAAATAATTTATTTAATGTTATTAGTAATTATCGAATTAAAATTAATTATTTAATTATATAAAAAAATTTCAATTATGTAAAATATTTAATTATATAAATATTTATTTATTATACCATTTATTATATTAAATTAAAAAAATTAATATATATATTGGACCGACTTAATAGCCGGCCCAGAAGAGGCCTAATAATAGCTGGCCCAGATCCAAATGACAGCCGGATCTGGGCGTTTGTGGCCCAAATGACAGTCGGATCTGGGCTGATTGTGGCCCAAATGACAGCCGGCCCAGATTGGCTGTTAAGATCTAGGTCGGCTGTGGCCCAAATGACAGCCGGCCAAACAAGTTGGCCATTTCCGACGACTTTAAGCTCCAAAAAAACAAATGTTCTCCCTCAAATACTTTTAAATCAACTCCACAATCACACAACACTAAATAAACTAACTAAAATTTATTAAATCGAACTAAATCTATGAAAAATCCATTTTAATG